AAAAGAGTGTTGTACGCACCATCCATGGGGTTTTGCATGCTTATTGGATATGGATGGAGCATTTTAGCAGACAAGAAGTAAGTTGATTCGTCTGTGAACTGTAATTCAATTTGTATAGATGACTCTCTTTTGTGGAGCATAGAGAATATATTTAACTATGTAAATATATATATCATCTTTTTTAGATGCAAGAAATTGGTGCTATTTTTACTTATAACGCTTCTGGCAGCGCATACGACGAAAACATTTGTTAGAAATTACGATTGGTTAGATGAATATTCGATATTCATGTCCGGCTTGAAAGTGAACGAAAGAAATGCCAAATTATTTAATAACGTAGGCCACGCATTGGAAAGCCAAGGTCGTTTTAAAGAAGCATTAAATTTTTTTAATATGGCTGTACAAGTTCAAGGTGATGATATCGGAGCACACATTAATGTTGGACGAACATATAATCATCTGAAAATGTTCAAGGAAGCTGAAGACGCGTATTTAAAAGTAATTAACATCACTGAATTTATGCAAACTTATCTAACTTTATCGATTTAACTTGTATTTTCATATATATATTTTTTTGTTTTTTCTAGGCCAAGTCATTATTACCAAAAGCGAAACCGGGAGAATCTTACCAAGCGCGTATAGCACCAAATCATTTAAATGTGTTTGTTAATTTAGCCAACTTAATAGCTAAAAATGCTACTAGATTAGAAGAGGCTGATTTATTATACAGACAAGCGATCAGTATGCGCGCGGATTATACTCAAGCATATATTAATCGCGGTGATGTTTTAATTAAACTTAATCGTACAAAGGAAGCTCAAGAAGTTTATGAGCGAGCACTATTTTACGACAGTAATAATCCTGATATCTATTATAATGTAGGTATTGAATTGTTAAAAAAGAAATACACATAAATACATTATTTTTTTTTAATGCTAAAACAAGACTAGACATTATTAAAAAATTAAATATATATATGATTGACATTTCTACAGCTTGGTGTTGTATTTTTGGAACAAGGAAAAGCATCCCAAGCTTTGGCATACTTGGACAAAGCTTTAGAGTTTGATCCAGAGCATGAACAAGCATTACTGAACTCTGCTATATTACTTCAAGAGTTGGGACGAGCAGAATTACGTAAAGTAGCTAGAGAGAGACTTCTGAAGCTTTTACGGAAGGTATGGTTAGATGTTCTACTTTTTTCAAATCATAAAACTTTAATTATATTATTAACACAAATTTATCATCTATTACCTAATTATAGGATTCCAATAACGAGCGTGTACATTTCAATTTGGGGATGTTGGCCATGGATGATCACGATAGTGCTAGCGCGGAGCGTTGGTTCCGCAATGCCGTTGCATTGAAGGAAGACTTCCGTTCTGCGCTGTTCAATCTCGCATTACTATTGGCAGATGAGCAGCGTCCACTCGAAGCGGCACCGTTTCTGAATCAATTGGTCAGGTTTCATCCGGATCATGTAAAAGGCCTAATCCTTTTGGGAGACATTTATATCAATAACATAAAGGATTTAGATGCTGCGGAAAATGTAAGATATTACGCGCAACTTTTAAATTTTTTTATTAAAATTTACACAACATGCAGAGATCTTATATATTATACACGCAAACAACAATAGAGACAATTATTTGTATCGACAATTCCATTAATGTTTACTTTATTGTATTTCAGTGTTATCGCAGAATATTACAACTGGATCCTACCAATATTCAAGGATTGCATAATTTATGCGTCGTGATGGTGGAACGAGGTAAATTGGGTTTAGCAGCGCAGTGTCTGGAACACGCAGCCGCTCTAGCACCACATCAGGATTACGTGCAGAGGCATCTTTCGATCGTGAGAACTCGTATTAGTCGTCTACCACCGGATCAGCGCGATACCGACGTTTTCGATGATTCCTTTTGGAGCAGTAACGTGAAGGACAGACCCTTCAATACCGTCGAGCCGTCAAACGGACAGTTTATAGGAAAGACCGAGTCCGTTTTTGCGAATCACGCGACAGTTCACAATCACATAGGAAGTAAGCAGAGCAATACCGATTCCCTGAATAATCACATTATACATTTAAAGGGTCCATCAAAACCTGCCCGAGCGATGAGTGGTGCCAGTACGACGGAAACAAAAGAACAGAGTCCCAAACAAGCGACAGTCCCTGTATTGAGTAATATCGTGGAACCTACCACGGACAGGGTTTTCGATAGAGTTATAAGCGCTGATATAACGAAGTTAGATATCACGCAGAAACACAGCTCGAAACATACGACGTCCGACCAGTTCAATCAGAGTGCCGCCGCAACGATCAGCGGCAAGCAAGGAATGAAGCAGACAAAGGACAGCGCGTTGTCATAGTATTAATGTAAAATCCGCCGAATACTGTAAAGTTATATGCATATAACGAAAGATGGTGGTACAGTCATATAGAGCTAATGTGTGAATATAAAATAAATACAGAGTATTGTTTTATATGCTGTATAAAAATAGGACATTTTATAAAATATATTTAAAATTGTGCATTTTTTATATTTTATTTGTACGTATCTCCACTTTTCCTTCAATTCCCATATTTTCAAACCATATACGATTATTTGAGAAACAAATGTAAACAGCAATTCGAAGTAAATACTATACGCTTTTGTTACAACTAATATTATATAATATTTGTAATTTATAATCTATTTTCAAAAGCTATTATATCTTTATTAATATTAATTTTAAACTTTATGAACTCTTTAAAAGACATGTTCTAGGTATATAGCTACACATATAGAAAAAGATTTATATCCTAACGATATTATAGTAAAAATCAAATCTCAATTATGCTTATCGATTTTGTAGTATCCGAAGTTTTATAAACATATAGATAATATTTATCACTTTTTTCAAAGCTTGTTCGAAAGGTCATCGCCCGATCGTCAATTTAGTCCATGCATTACCTGCAACTTATCGATTGCAGCACGAAAGCAAGCCATTGCGGGTTATAAAGTAGCAAAGTAATGAATCAAGCTGGCTTTCATGTTCATCGGATGCCAGACTGTTGAAACATCATACAACATGCATGTGAAAGTTACAAGACTTTTACCCTATCACGCCCCTCACCCACGGACGAAACATATTAACGCATTGGTGTGTGTATGTGATGTAAAAAAGCTCCGTCCGATAAATATGGAAATGAAAACGCGAAGTTTACAATATATAGGGTGCTTGCGAATTACTCCCAATTTTATTTCTTATTTTATAATTTCCATATACGGGAAATATGTACATGAGTACAAAATTATTTTTTTTTGTTACTTAAGTTTACACACATATATTATATTAAATATATATTATTTTTATCATGTCTTTTTTAAAAATCAATTTTAATTTAATACATTAATTTCCAAAAAGTGTTTAATTTTTTAAAAATATTTACATTATATCCGTGACACTGAAAAATGTTAGATTTATTTCAGAAACTTTTTCAGACATCATATTGCAAGTTAAAATATATTATATTTTACTTGGAGAACAATGGATATCTTTTTCTAAAGATTGATAAAAAAAGATATGCAAAAATATTTGGAGAATTTATTCATATAAAATTAAACTTGAGGAGGAAGGAAGAATTATTATTAATTACAGTCAAAAATCATGTTATATAAAATTTTAAAACTTCTTGTCTGATTTTTAAATCATATGAATCACGAAAGAATGCGGACAAATGCGCTGTTTTTACTCGGCCGAATCCTTCGTTCGTAAACACTATTCTATCAAAGACACGCAACACTGGTTGATGCTTCGAGCGGGATTTACATTGTCGAATTTTCTAAATGGATCTCAATTATTAGAATCTATATTAAGAACAACTAAATTAGATTCCGTATTGCCTGCGAAATCCGATGAACTGGTAACTGGACGTGAAGGTTAACACGTTAATCGACCTCGAGACGACCGCTTGCTGGACCGAGCGACTTCGCGACGCGACGAGCCGCGCCGCACCGCCCAGGAAGCCTGAAGACGCTCATTGACCCATTATAGCTCGCGAAATTCTGTTCTAATCGAAAACAATGTCCTTGGTAAGTCACGCCGGTTCAGCCCGAGCGTCTGTAAAAGCGACGCCGGTGTTCCACTTAAAAATTCCATTTCGGAGAGCTATTTTAGGGGGATCGAAAAATTTCCGATCTAACGATTCCATGAAAAATATCTTATTTTTAACATCTGATTTAATATTTAGGACAGAGTCTATTCCCCCTCACCCCTGCCATCGAATGTCATAGAGATTTAAGAGACACTTTTATACGAGGCGTTTTGGAGATGTCATTTGGTACTGTATATTATTAAATAGCTGTGTCGATATTATGTTCTAGAGATTAGTTATTAAGTATTTAAGTTGTAAGAAATATAGAATATTTCACAGATAGGACAAAGTTCATAATGTTCGAAAAAGTATTTTGAATTGTATGTTAAAACATGTGGAAAAGCAGAAGAGCAGGGAAATACAATATATAATTAACTAAATGCAGAAAAACACATATATGTATATCCTTAGATATTATCTATAATATCTTTTGTTTAACGTTGTTAGATTATGAGTTTAGGTATCAACTACAAAATCATATGTATGATAGTCTTATGTCAGGGTTACTAAAATTGATTAATAGCTTAAATAAATAAAATAACAGCAGAAAAATACACAAATGCATTGCCTAATTGAACGTCATCGCGCGGTTCCCTATTGTGGAACATAAGTAACGGCGACCCTTTCTTGAATCCGTGGACCGAAATCGGCCGGCGCGAGGGTGCAAAATGAGGGTTGTAGGAGGCAGTTCACGGTTGACCGCACGGCCTTCCGTATGCAGGCGGCATTAGCCGTGTGCCGCGCGATTAAGGGAAGTTGACAGGTAAGCCGGTGCTTAATGAACACGTCTCCGTTACTCAGTATTACCACTGTCGAGCTGAGTGTTTATAAGGGAGGCGGCCACCTTTTCGGCCACCATAAGACGCACACGCATCCATCGAGTAACAATCACCGGCACGTGTGTACGGTAAGTACCACGCCGATCTTTCGCCACCTTTTATCCCGCGCAGGTAGGGACGAATCACACAGTGTTGTGAAATACATACACGCATGTATACTTATCGATCTTTGATCGTATATCAAACGGCAATTAGGCGCGATTAAGATCTGAGTTACATAGTTCATTTTGAGATTGATCTTTTCGCGTCTTTGTATCTTATTCGCAAATAAAACAACATTCCCGTTAATTTTTATTTAATTATAAATATGTGTACTTAAAATATTAATTTTTTTTACACTATAATGATATAATTTTTGTAATATCAAAATTTGACAGCATAAAGTACATATTTAGAATTTATACATTGGTCTATCATTTTGACATTGTTAAATTCAAATATCATAGATATATTTTACATTTACAATAAATTGACGTAATATTAAATGTTATGAGTGAATAAGATTTGATGTCGCTCTTGTGAAGATAATTAAAGATTTCAAACTAGTTGCCAATAACGTCATCATTGATAAAAATGCGTTTTATTCGACTTTTATTTATTTTTATTTGCGTCATTATCTCTTTATCGTTTACTTTTATTTCGTAACACATTTAATATTTATATTCCGGTATGTCATAATTTTTTTTTATACGGATAATACTCTCGTCGTCTCTGTGTCTACTGAATCTTGCAAACTTCTTCCGATATTTATGATGCAGGCTGCTCGTTCAGGCAATAAATATTGTGCATCGCACCATGCGATTTCTTACAAACAAATATCAGAGCAAAGCCAACTATATGTATACGATGCTAATGTCACGAGTGAAAGCCACGCTAGCCTTTATCGATCACGATCGTTGACCGCGTCATATAAGGTGTCTCGGTATTTTTTCTTCAGTCTTTGTCGTAATCGCAATTAATCGAGCGTGTGCGTAAAAGTTCCCTTACTTAATGTCATATATTTCGAGGAAATTTCTCTACAGTCTATTGTTATAAATCCAAGTTTACATAACGCGATTTCGACGCAAATTCGAAAAAAGTAAATTGATAAAAATGAAAATAAAAGCAGCAAATAACAGCCACGGACAAGGCTGCTTATTTACATATCTATCTAAGAATAAGACGACGAACGGATCTATTTTAGTTTCAAACAGTTAATCGTGAGAGTGAATCCGAAAAGAGGGTGTCTTATATTCTTCGGGATATATATCAGGATATATCTCTTATAATCTAAAGAAAATACTAGTAATGAAGATTTTTTTAATAATAAATTTAGAAAATTAATAAAAAATTGATAGCAAAATTAAATTAAAATAAATACATATTATTTTTGATAGTCATGCACTATATGCATCACTAGACATGTGATTTTCATATAGCAACCCTTTGTAAAAAAGTTAATGCATAGTGAATAAAACGATCTAAAGTTGTGTTAGATATAAGTATGTGAGAGAAGAAAAGGTATATGCACTTCACTACGTTGTGAAAAAAGCTTGACTGGATAAATCAGGGTAGCGAATGACTAACGTCACGCGAACCACGATATACCTGAAGATTCTTCGTATTACCGCAATGCCTTACGATTAACTTATCATAAAATCACGTTTTTATACATTTATTTCCAAGTTTATTTCTTAGAAAATAGCTCGCGAAAGAGACTCTCTACTTTCCCAATTTAATAAACTGTCCTCAATTATTTCGCCAGTATATTGCGCTACGTATTAACTAGCAGAATTAACCATAATTCTATTTAAAATATTTTTAATTTTTTTTTTGAAAAAATATATTATATTTGTATTATATTTAATTATATATATTCAATTATAATAATAAAATTTATATATATCCAAAATAATTCAATTGCTAGTACATTTTTATCATTATTAAATCATAAGTATTATATTTTGGTATGTTTCATGGGATTGAAAATACAAATTAGGATTACTACTATCTATTAGTATGTAATGTCTGCCAATTATTCTATTCTCGAGAGATATAAGTTTGCTAAGTATTAAAGACCGCGTTATTATTTTCGAGACTCGCGAGATTTTTATTCCTGCGCAGAAAATCGCTAGTTTCTGATCACGTGCTTAGTAATGGGTTCCATTAGGGCTGGCCGATGGAAGTAGGACAGCAGTACTTTCCGCTTACGAAGACAATTGCCCGCGTATAGCGTTATTTCGTTGACTCAATTGCAGGACTTGTGATCGTTTAAGGAGAGGGCAGTTAGAGCAAGTACTCGCAGATCGAGATCGTTATCAGGGAGTAAAGTCTCATAGAAGAAGTACAGTCGCTAAGAATATCGAAAGATTTCGCGCGCTTAGAGAAAAATCTCGACAGCTTTTAAACTCATTTACCAGAGTCATTATTATAAATTATCGTGTAAAGGCTATGTTATTCTTTATATTTAAATCCGAAAGAGATAATTATTATTTATATATTGAATACCTCGTAACTTAATAGAACGTTTACAACTTACGTGATTTTATGCTACATGGAACATGTGTGTGAAAAAGACGCGTTTCTGCCCGCGGTGCGGCAAACAGTGACGATCGCACCGAGGAGAATGCACTGACAATGAGAGTACATCCGTACGATCTGGCTGTGGCACGTGTTCGCAGACAACTGTCCAGACACAATTGGCCGTCTGCGGAGGCTGGAAGAATGCGGGACAAAAAGAACGAGAAACTCCGTCCGACCGGCCGGCCGGCGGCTTTTATCTCGCATGTCTCCTCACCTCTCGTGTACACGACCCCTCTCGATAAAGGTCATGCAATTTGAAGGCGATCGTTTGTAGACGCTACGACCCCCCGAATTCTTCCCGATCAACCGCGAGAGAAAGAAAGAGAGGGTGATCTGGCGAAGAGAGTAGAGAGACGGAGGAACAAGAGAAATTAATTCGTATTAACGATGAGTGCAGTCACACCGCGGATTCGCTTATCATAATCATCGTCTATCGTGGAAATTTTTCCTTAATCGCAAATACACTTTTTCATCGAACAGTCTTATTTCTATTTGTATTAATTTATCGATTTCGCGATTATAGTTTATTAATCGCAAGATGGTTTTGTTTCGAATTAGGCTGACAGCTCACCTAAACTTTGATCCGGCGAATCGCTTATTTTTTTTTTATTAATTAGCAAATCGTGAAAATAGATGTAATTATATAATAATAAATATTAAAATTAAAATTTACATCACAATTATATTACAAATATTTATATATCTATTTCTCAGAAATATAAATGGCAATAGTAAAAAGTAATTCATCTTTTGCTTGCGAAAATAAATTCGCGCGTGTATGAAAAGAGGTAACTTGTGATTATTTCTTTTGCACGATAGCCAGCTTGATATCTTTCCCGAGCAACAAGATAGGAGATTTTCTTATATATATGGAGATTTTTCTATTGCAATGTACATGTATCATATATATGCTTTCTTGCTCATTTTTGTATATACGACAATGAAAGAAAGATGTTAATATATTAACTATATCTTAAATATAATTCGATCAAGCAGATTACACGTAGTGCCAATCTTTAAGCACTCACGTCACCCAATTAACGGTTAAACGATGATGTGTGATCTGCATTCAATCTTCGATAGAATACAGAAATAAGACACACGTCGCTTTTCTTGAGACCGATTGTTTCCCTCACTCGTCACTCTCCCTCCTCAATCTGTTTGCTTTCTTTCTTGCTATCCCCCGACCACACTTAAAGGACAGCAAGCACGGGAGAAGAAAGAGAGAGAGAGAGAGAGAGAGAAAGAGAAAGAGAGGGATGATACGAGCCACCTTATACTAGTTCATCAGCAACCTTCTACCGAGACGGAGAACCGAACCTCTCTCTGGGGACAGGTCTTCGTGACAATTGCGGTCAATCAGGCTGGCATTGTCAGAAACGTGACCGCACGTTCCCAGTCGGAAGAGCCTGAGACGCTCGTCGGCGACCGAGCGGTCCAGACGTGCCTCGTCGATCTTCTCAAAGAGAAGCATCGGATCTGTGCTCGCGTCATCGATTACCACCTGCCGATTCTATCAGACTGTAAAGAGAGATCCTTTGGTTCGAGGCATAACGAGATCATTAACGAAGTATCAAACCAGGATCGAACGAGATATACCCGAGGATCTCACTAAAAATAAAGAACGCGCAACTGCATCGGGAATATTTTTGTCGTAGAAAAAGTTCCGAGAGAGGGAAAAAGTACACGGCTGTGATCCACGAAACCTAAATACCGAGCTAAGAATATTAACTAGTGTACATTGTGTCATCTTTAGCTCTGACGAGCCTGCGAGATCGGTGTGGACCTGGAGAACCAAAGAATCCAGATCGCACATACACAAGAGTCGCACGACGCTTTGGCCGGGACAACCGCGGACGGGTCCCCTGCTATCGACCGATCGATTGCAATTACTTTTGGGATAGAAAATAAAGAAAAACGAGGAGAAAAAAAAGACGCACAAAGTGCTCGTGGACGGGCATCAATGCATCCCAGACAGTGGGAAGGGTTGATTTTGCCGAGAAGCATTGTCGAGCATTGTCTCGAGACGGTGGCCCGTTATCGTCTACGGAGTATTTCATGATCGTTTCCCCATGAGAGAAACCAGCCACGCTATCGTCGTTACGATCGTCATCGTGATTACATCTCACCTGCTGCGTCCGCGACATTGTCCGGCGTTGTCCGAGAAAAAGTGCCAGACTGTGATACTACCCCGTGTGATAGAGAAATCGCCTTGTGATCCGTGTTTTACCTCACCGTACTCAGTAAGTCTCTCACATCCTGTCAGCTCCTTTTGCCTTTAATGCCGTTCTTATCGGAAAGATGTGCTCTCTGCTGCGTAAAAACTAATTATAATATCCGAGAAAGAGAATACTCTCTCTTCCGTGAGAGCTGAAGATAGATCCGTTCGATACGCGTGCTCATTTTATTACTCAATTCTAGTATTTAATTATTCGTATTTTTGGCACGGATGAAAAAAAGATAGAAAACATATTTTTTATTCCCACAATTAAATTTAACTATTATGGGAAAATTGATATATCTGACACAGCTCCCATCTGTGGGTGGAGTTACAACTGGCGTAATATAAAACAATGCTTCATTGAAATATACTGTACCTATAAAGACTCTATTCAAGTATATATATAAAATTATTATTCTGTTTGAAATTACTGTAAATTTTCAATATCTCTTTGAGTTAAATTTATCGCATTAAATATGCAGTGTTATTATTATTTTACTTCAATTTGATAACGGCTTAATATTTGTTGAAAATAAGTCAACTTTGTGCTCGTACATTTGATAATAAAACTGAATAAGATATTTTGACTTAATGTAGAGTTGTCTGAATATATATTGACTTATCTGAACGTTTTATCTCTTCCAAAACACATTAAAACTATTTTAAACTATCGCAAGAAAGAGCAAATTATCTCAAATTATTCGAGCACAAACGGCTACCACTAATTCTTGTAATGTATAACCGTTTCAAATATTATACGAGACCTCCTCAAGTTGACGCACATGAGCGCAGCATGCTTGGTGCTCGTGTACCGTTCAATTGTATTATTAGAGAGTGCATCTGCCTCTTAAAAGTGCCTCGTTGGTTCAGCTCATTTCTTTAAATTATGCGTCAGCCCGAATTACGCGGCGTCGATTACGGAGAAATTAACGCAAGTACTGCGTCATTAAAATTAAATTAATCTTCATAACTTTGATAGTTAATTGTTAATCTCCTAATCTTGTTAATCTTTCTTCGTGATTGCTGAGATATGCATAAAAAGTACGCGAGAACACTTTTTCCATTACTTACATTTCACGCATGATTTATAATACATAAATGTATACTATCGTTAATCAATATGTTTTGCTGCATAGAATTGCATAGAATTCTGTATGTAACGGACATGTGTTTAATTAATTACAATCATTAATTACATGTTTAGTAATGTCGGAAAAGTATTTCGAAAAGGTGATCTTTTATCTTTGTTTTTAATGTCAAGACAGAACTACGCGATTAGTTTATTAAATATTGATCTTTCTTAAAAACTTATTTTTAAAATATTTACATATATTTATCGTTCTGGCAATTGTGATTGTGTTCGATAAGACTGGATAGATTTTTTCAAGACATATAAATTATGATATATACATATAGCTCTCTAAATCAGGGAATTGCACATATGTTATAGACGAACTCCGACGAGACTAAATCAAAACACGTTTTTATCATTCGTAATTCACACAACAGAATAATGCTTGGATTCTTCGGTCTCTCATATCATAACCGTAATTTTTCCCTTTACTTTTTTATTTATATAAAATATCCGAATAAAATATAATTTCTATATAGATTAATGCCGAAATGAACAACAATAATGAGCGCAGTTAATAGTCAGTTTATGTTACATTTATATTCATTAATTTACTTACAAAATATCGTTATTTTTATTTATATAGGGAGTTGTATATACATGACAAATAACAAATCAATTAAAGATAATGAATACACGCGTCAAAAGATGCATTTGTTGCCACATTATGAAACGTATAATTTTCTTTTTAATTAGACTTTCGTAAAATTAATCGAGAAATTCACGCGATTTGATAGCAAAATGACGCGACCGAGGCGATTTAGCACCTCAGGATTTTTCAACTACTCTTTTTCGCACCTGTCTGTATAGTAGCGAGAAAGCGGAAAAGTTCCCTTGCCTACGCGATCGCGCTCTAATCGGAAAAGTCGATCACCCCTGGTCGGTTCGCACTCGATCGGACGTAAGTGCATTTTCTCATAAGTGCGTATAAGTACGGCTCGTTTAGTATCTTTCCGAGTGTTATATACACGTGTTTATACATTGTTACTCGTGGTGTCTGCCGGCGGTACTTCGCAGATAATACTAAGAGAAAAGACGAAGACAAAAATAGAAGTGCGCCAGTCTTGCAAGAGACAGCAGACAAGAGAGAGAGAGAGAGAGGAAAAGAGATCAAAAGAGAATAGCTCCAGATTGATGGAGGAAAGGGAAAGCGATCAAGACAAACGAGTCCTCTTTTCAATTTACGGGACTTTTCGCTATCATGAAATGCGTCTCTTCTTGAGAACGGGAGGATCTATGTAGTTCGGTACTCTGTTTACAATCATTGAAGGCGCCAGACAAGAAGCCAATGAACGGCATACACGTTATTATCGACACGTATAATTGTTGTTCAATCTCATTTTATGGGAATTTGAAGCGGTGCGATACGGCCTGATATCTCACTTCATGCGCAAAATAATGCGAATTCAAAGAAATCGGTAAATTACTAGTCAATCTGAATCGACAAAATTGTAATATTCAAAAAAAAAAACGAGTGCACGCGAGAAAGTGCATTAGATAATATCTTAAATTAAATCTATAATAAAAGATAATATCTTAAATTTATGCATTCCGAAAGATTTTCCATCTTCCACTCTCCTCTCCTTACTTTCCATTCCCTCCCATAAAAAAAAAAAAAAACTGGTTTTAAATTAAGCTAGTCTTCTTAGAAATTATATAATGCCTCACTCTCAAATTGGATTACCGCATTGATATAGGATATTTAGAATAACGGGATATCATATACCATGTACGGACTAATTATCGTCGATAAATGAGGCCGATACATTTTTATTTGTTTTGCACCCACGGCGTGTCGACGGCTTGCGATCGCGCTTATCATTTTCGCGGTGAGATACCACGAGTCTCGGTTGTCCGCGTTCGCAAAACACAAACATAGTTATTTACCTCGTCCGGGTTCTATATTTTGCCGTTCAAGAGACGTGCAATCTTTTTCAGACGAAAGTGAATTATGGACAATCGCGCAGTTTCTTTCAAACCGACAAAGAAGAATTACAGATGAATTACTGTTTTGGATACTTAAAAAAGATTTGCGTACCAGAATGCAAAATCTTTATAATCTTAAAATATATATGAGAAAGAAATTTTAAAGTAGATATTACAAATAACTTATATAAAAATTGATCCACCAATTTTAAAGGCAAAGTATTGATCCAGTTTGAAATCTAATTTCGGTTTACATATTCAAAGTTTTATAATCGTAAATATAATTAAATAGTTCAATCAATCCATCGGCGCAATAATGCTTCTTACGAATTGCAAATGTATGCGTGTTTTCAGCGCTACTAATCGCGAGGAAAAGATAAATAATGTTAGATAATTCAACATCAACATGCGTCGTTTCTTTCAGTTATTGCTTGGTGTTGAACGCTAATTTCTATCGCCTCGATGCGCCGGAAATAGAAGTGGTCTGCCCTATATTCGCGTTACTTGTTTTGAAAGAGGCAAGTCAATGTGTCTGTTGCGGCAATGACTCTGGCAGGCCTAATGATATGGCATTTGCGAATTGATCGCGAATAAGTTCCATCAACCTTGAAACGTCAAAATAAAAGTGCATTATATTTTTGACGGAAACTTATATAAATTAAAACTAGACCAACATTGTCAAGGTTAAAAAGAATACCGGTATACAAATGATATTGTATCAAAAACACATTTAGAATCGATCTCTAGTAGTGAAAATATCGAGACATTAGATAGTTGTTACTATTTAGTTGTAAACTATTGAAAATAAAATTTTTCTCTCTACAAAATAAGCTTCGAAAGGATATTTATATAATAAAGAATTATTTGTTCATTAATTTAAAAGACATTTTAATTCAAAGCTCAATTATTGATCTTTCTAGACATTTTTGTTAAAACAAGAGCTTTTACTTTCAAACGGTTTTACATTCAACGGAAATAACATATATGTATATATGTCTATCTCCTCATACAGATCATCGATATTACATCAATTTTTTTCGAATTTATTCTAGATGATTAATTTTTTAAATACACCATCATACATCAATAATACCTCGTTTGTTTTAAAATTTTGGACATTGTAAAAAATGCACGCGTTAATTATTGTTAGCTAAATGTATTACATCATGTTTTCGTACCAAAGTCACTGGCCTGATTTTCATTTTCGTTGATAACGTGACTAATCGAGTATAATGTAGCTTACAAAACAAGTCAATATGGTTGTAATCCAATCATGCAGGGTGTCATTATTGGGAGGCTACATCTTTGAAGAATCATTGCACAAGTACCATTAACCTATCTCAAGCAAATTTAAATATTATTTTGGATTACTAGAATTTGTATTTGCATATAGATGCCTGTGCACTGTAAAACTTTTGTATCTCTTCAAAATACAATTTACATGCAATTATCTGTTTGTTCGAAACAGTGTTGATTCATAAATATAATCAAACATTCCTTCGATAAAATACATATATTGTATGTCTCCGAAATTATCTGAAGAGACACGAAATGAACATGCACGTGCGATACCCTAAAATAACAAGAGGACCTCTGCGTATCGGTTTCCACTTGATTGTGGTGTAACATAATTATGCTGGCGCTTAACGTGTGACCAAAGGTCGCTATCATGGACAAAGCATACAGAGAAAAGCGCCTTCTCTTTCTTTTATTCTGTCGGAGAAGATTCCCGTCGCGACGCGATTGCATGACACGCGCGAACGAAAATACGCGGTCTGTCTCTCTCTTTCTTGCGTTGCGAGATTTATATTTAAATGAGAGATATCTAAAAATAGAGGCACACCCTACGCGATCGCTGGAATGCCGCGACACTATATACCCGCATTTAATTAAACCCGATACGTAAACAGAGGCAACACTAAGGTCTCTTGGACGATGAGTGGCGTCCATTTCTACGCTTAAACAGCATCGTGTCATCTACATGAACAGTTAGAAAAATATATCCAAATAAATATCTCTGTGCTGATATGTCGAATAAAGAGTCTAAACATTAGATATACGCCAGTATATACATATAATGAGGCATTAATTTAGTAAACAGTCCGGCCCGCGAGTGTTCCAGATAATTTCATTTTTAATCGTTTAGTCGAAGGCTGCGTGATGACACCGATAAATGATCGTTGTCCACAATTTCCACTCATTTCTAATTAACACATTTACTTACATTTTATAATCTCTTTTTTCTTTTTTAAAGTTGTTTCCAACATAAACAAAAGTTGTATTTTCCTGATATAAATATAATATATTCCTTTCTTTTGGTTTTTTTAAGTTATCATAATTTAATTTTTCAAGTTTTATTTTTTTATTAAAAGTAATTACAACAAAATTAAAATTATAAATATGAATGACATCCAGTCCCGTGTATATGTTTGCATAATTAAATGAGGACGGTTATTTTCAGATGTCCGCGAACCGATTGAACGTGCTTGTGACCATGATGATCGCCATTGCGTTCCTTGCAACGGAATCAGGAAACGCACAAGCGGACGGTTACCCCCAATTTAATCCGAAGCGACCCACCATGAGCGTGCCGCAAAAATATTGCGGCAAGAAGCTCTCTAATGCTCTGCAGATAATCTGTGATGGCGTGTACAATTCCATGTTTAAAAAGAGTGGTCAAGGTGAGTATAAAAGCTAATCGATACGGGAAACATTTTTTTTTGCTTGTTTCCGACATCAATACCAAATGACAGATAGGATATATATACCGGTAATGGATCATTAATGAACAAAAGACTAAATTTGTGTAACAATGTTAAGTAATGTATTTGTTCCTAAATATCCGCAATTTTTTCTTTATCAGATTTTAACACTCATAATTATAGCTGAAAGCGACAGTTTAATCAGCAACTTTTTTATAGATTATTTCATGTGTCTCATTGTTAATATTCCATCATATTTCACATAATAAATCTTAATCATATTGTTTTAATTGGTATTCATAGATTATAAATGTCAAAGAAAAAAATTTGTGAACTATTTTTATTAACATAATATATTGATATAGTACAGACACAGATACACACACACACATCTATTCTGTCATTAAAAATCATGAAAAAGAGATAATTTTAAAGAATATGAAATATTCATTATTGACAACTTTCCACTTTGACCATTGTATAAATGATTTGCAAAAGTTGCATTCTCGAATTTATCGATGTAATGATTTGGCGCGCGTGCAGTCATGTCAATAATATTTAGAAAGTTAATAATAGAAAGAGGAAGAGAGTTGAGAGATAAATATTCAGGAAGATTTCTCGCGCATGCACGATGGCAGTCTCTCCGTTACAAAATTTGCCTTTGTAATGCAACGATTCAGTCATTAATATTAATGCTGTTCGCATTCCTTCTTTCCCGATTAACATCACCCGTGATGGTACGACGAATATTTCATAATGGAACTAATAATGGAACTACTGAGATAATCGCGCCGTCCAAATGTCAAATTATCAAATATATGTTTGGATATCGCAAGATTTATTTAAATGTATAAAAATATCCATTAAATATTTTACTATCTAAGATACATTTAATAATTATAATATTAATTGCATGAATATATAAAACGAACCGTTTGAAAGTACAAATAACGCTTAATTTGTTCTGAGCTTATAATTGAACGGCTCAATATAAGAATGAGGTCAGTTAGTAATTTAAAATGTTCACTTTAAATACAACTTTAAGTGAACGTTACAGACTACGGGTTGCTTCCAATTATGACAGAATTTTTGCTTTAGACCCGACAATTTCTTAATAGCTCCTCGAGCACGATATTCTACGAAAAGCGATTAAGCTTACGATCAATCTCTGTACCCACAATTAACCAAGTAATCGCTACTTTGTCGCCGATGAATAATGCATGTAAGCTCGTATTACGTATTTTCGAGTGGGATTATCTAAATCGACAGAGGCACTCTCTATAATCGTCAACTTTTAAATACGCCCCAATAATTAGAGGCATTACATTTTTCAGTAATATTTTTATTCTCTGGTTCAATTAACATTTTCATCAAAAACAAATGTGAGAATTTATATTGAAAATTTACATAAAGCATTTTCGGATACATAAAGCGATTTATCGCAGAGCTTAATCAGTCAAATAGATCCATATAATCTGACACCGAAATCTAGATGTACCTGTACGATTTATTGACAATCGTGGAAAGCAAATTCTGGTCATTTATGTCAAATAATATGTCTTGTGTGACACGCAAATATAAAGATCCTATATTTTTTTCTAAAATATTCGAACTGTGCCAATCAAAACCAACGCGTTTGCCATTAAATATGATATATAGAATTAGCATTGTGTGAGTGTGCGTGCGCGTGCTATCAAATTGGATCCCTAACTTGTTTAAAGATTAATTAATTTTTGCTGACATTATGTTTATAATTCATTTATAATATTTAAAAAAATGTATCTTATTTTTCATATAAATTATAATTAATTGTATGTATGTGTGTGCCTTTTCTAATTTATTATCCCTAAGAAAGTTTTGAGATTTTTAAACAACAATATTCTATTTTGATTCCTTTTACAGCCCGGGAAGAAGGGAGTACCGGCCACAGAGATATCAACTTTGACTACGTACGCACCCAAGGTACGATTTTGAAAATGGTTGTGAAGAGACCTTTCTCGAAAATCTCAAAACTTTCTTAGATATTTAAATGAGAAAAAATAAGAAGCATAATGTACTGAATAAAGAAAAATAAAATGCACGCAAAAATTGTTCAGTTAAATCGATGGTGCACGCATATATATAGAGAGCATGTTTATGACGATACGATCTTTTTACCTTATCGGTACAAAAGTTCACGCTTTTCTTTCAGAAATGGAGATGGCCGATTATCCGCTGGCTTACGAGTTTCCCCCGTTCCTACCCCGAGCAAGAGCACGGGGGATGCTTGATGGACCCTTCGCCGGCAGACGCTATCGAAGGGAATCGCGAGGCATCCACGAGGAATGCTGTCTTAATGCGTGCACGATAAGCGAACTGTCCAGCTATTGCGGTCCCTAAGCGCGCGTCCGGAAACCGGTAATCCTTTGACCTCTGCTTTACCGCTCGTTCACCATGCAACCGAATAATCTTAGACACACGCGCGTATATCCATATATTTACATACAGACATACACACACACAAATACACACACACACACACACACACACACACACCACATATGTGCAATACATGTTTGGAAAGTTTACCAGTTGCATCATCGCTCATGCTGGAGACTGACTCGTGATAATTATGTATACATTTATGTAATTTTATGCGGAGAAACTGATTTCTCTCAACGCATGATCGTGTGCGGGATTGTATTATTTTCTTCATGATTTTCTAAGGACAAAGAGACAGCGAAGATAAGACAAAACTCGAAAGAGACATAGAGTCTTAAAAAATGAAGTATAAAATCACCAGAAACCTTACGTTCTTCAAATTAACTATATTTGTCTAAAATTATAATAACTTTTTTGTGATTGAGAATGCTTTTTATATATTATAATTATATGGTAACATAATTATTGTAGGTAATTTAGAAACAAAATCTATTTAGTCGGATTTAAGTTTCTTCAGTTTGTAAGTCCCGATATTTATTCGAATATTTGACATAACTCTTCCTTCGCTTACTCTATGATCATGAAATAATTAAAGCAAAGTTCTCGAAATGTCTGACAATTAGCTGCATTATACGTATAAAACAACATTTTAACCAAAATTATTTTACCTAAATTGTTGACAATTTAATATAATAAATTGTACCAGAGTTATTATGCCCTAAATTTCATTTTGTTTCTATAAATATAATCCTTTCGCTATAAATGTGCACATTGATCAAGAGCTTTGAATCACGGTTTACAGATAAGCTATGATATACAATCGAAAATGTGTAAAAGGAAAGATTAACGATTTCTCGAAAAGACGTCAAATTGCAGTCAAATTAAATATTTATACAGCATACAGCTTATAATCGTATGCGATATTTATCATATACTTTTTACGATCGAAAGAAACATCATCAATGCCCATATTTTGTGAATCAGTCTGCGAAAGTTAAATCGGGAAAAAGAATCAACGTAAAAAAATGGCAAGAAACCGCGATCTGTAGACACATATATATCTAGCGTGTGATCTCATATAATTATACTGGCGATCATCGTGCGACATATGTGAAAAATGAAAAACGCACCTGTCGACGATATCACGCGACTTCATGCTTGCCTCGAAATTGATCTTGGACTTGGATATTGGATTGTATTTTTTTAGTCTGTGTTTTTTTTTTTGTTGGGCAGCATCGAATGACATGCGTAATGCGATTCTTTGATTTACATGTACGAGTAATTGCACCTTTCTCATTTTGACCGACAAGGGTTTTTGCGTACACATTTTACATTTCGATAACTCTACATACGCGTGCATCGTTGGCAAATGTCCTGCTCGTGAGCTAAGTGTTGAAAAAATTTGTCGCAATTATCGGGGGATATAGTCTCAACTCGTATGGTGATTTCTGACGACGAAGCGCAGAAGAAATAGCTCGATAGCCATTAATTTCTTGTATAACCGTAATAACTCCTTCTCTTTTTTAATACCAAACTCGAAATCCGTTGAACGACGCGAAACGTGAAAAGGATCATCATCATGAACGGATGTCGTGTTTACTATTTTACTCTGTAGCTTATTTTTAATCAGTTATTTTTAATCTGCCAGAGGCTGTGACAAATTTCAATGAGCACTCCACGATTATACTCTCTGCGCGCGCGCATATGGTGATATTATTCTTCTTCATATAGAACATGTATACTCAATGATTATGTATCCTATTCTCGAAGGAAGGACCAAGGTAAAGTGCGCTCGCGCAAATCGGGAAGCTCAGATTATGCACATCGATGTATCGCTTGTAGTGAAATATGTGGGCAAGATGGATTGACACTTTGCAAGGCGATCCAAATGAGTGTTCTTGACTATAACTTGGTACTTTAAGCCGTGCAGTAAAAAATAATTTTAATGAGACAATATATATTAGTAAAACGATATAAACAATATGTATCAGTAAAACAATATAATAAGCCGAAATTACGAAAAAATTTTATGATTATTTGATGATCAATTTAGGTTGAACCGCGCGACAGAAAAGAATGACGAATAAGAGAAAATATTTACCGTGAAATATAGCATATTGTTGTAAAGGAAAAGAAACTGGGATAAATTAGCGAGGCACACCATGAATCGAAAAATTACACTCGCCAATCATTTATTCGAGAAGTTTTATAATAATATCGTTTTGTTTTTTCACTGAGATAATGTTAACTTTTGTGACGTATTGAGTGATCTCTAAATCGCATGTCATTAATCTCGTCACGCACATCTAGCGTAAGAGCACGTTTCATTCCGAATTATATATTGTCCTCACCGAAGAGTTATTTTAACGCTTCTCCTGCGCGATTAACTGAATCTGTCTGTATCATAGGTAAATCTGTAAACAGCGAATCGCTAATCCCGAGTAAGTTGACGCAATCCATCTCGTCGCGATTCGCGGGGGAAGTTCGGTAACATGCAAATTCGAAAAAAAAAGAGTACATTCTCTTTATCCAATTTTTATAATTTTTACAAAAAGCGCTTTAATAATTTTTAATCAATATTTTATAAATGATTTTGACTTTTTTAAAGGAATAAAAAAAGGAAAGTCGAAAAAATTGGCTTTATCCTTTAAAATTTAGTTTTTCTAATCTCGACTAACAATAAGATTAATTATTTGATATCTTTTGAATTTAGAAAGTCACCGAATTTTCTTTATAATCATAATATCATTTCCATGTGCGCTTCTCGCCTACTCGCCTACCGTTGGATCTCTCAGTGAATAATGCGACAAAATGATGATAACCGTCAAGGTCATAAGTTATTGATTAGATGAGAGTCATCGTAATCACGTTTATCATATTCATCATCTCGAGATTAGTCCTATTTGCCGCGTTAGCGCCGTTATGATCATTATTATCATTTCTCATTCTCTCGTCATCCCTTGTCATCGTCATAATGAGATGTGATCTGTATCGCTAATGTTGCTGCCGAGCTTGCTTCAGTACATTTCGACCGCGTTTCTCGCGTGCTATTTTCTTTATCCTCCCATCTGTCCCCGTTTCATTTCGGCAATCTCCCTCATGCGATGATTGTAATATAATATGGAAACAAGTAAGGGTCGAGACACACGATGAAATAACGAAATCAGATATAAACGGTAAGGGATAAAGTTTACAACGTACAGCAAAGTAATCACACTTATATCGAGCAATCGATATCGTAAGAGACATACGGATGTGTACAAGAAAAAAAAAAAAAATAGGACGGATAATTTCACCGAGATTGTATAGAAAAGGATATTCGAACAGTGTGCGATTAATGTAAAATGAAATAAAATTTGTGTAAAGTCTATCCGGAGCGTAAGCGAATATCCGTTTTTTATATCCGTATTATTTATTGATAGACTATTTATGCTATTCGTTTTGTGTCTCAATCCTGACACGTCGCTCGATCCTGTGACAGGAAACGCGGTGGTGCTTTTTGCTGCTGCGACTGCGAACGAGAGACAAATCAGGCGCTCCGGCGAGAGGAGCGGCGATATATAGTACTATATATATGTAGGAAACAGGAGATGTGATTTGTATATTGAGATGTACTTCAATTTAACGATGAACAATGAAAATCGTTCCCAAGAAGAATTGTTCTCTTTTTTTCCTCGATCACACCCACACCTCGTTTTATTTCCGTAACATTCAATAGAACAAGGATGATTAATCTCAATGATCTTAATTCTAGTCGGCGTTATACTTTTACACGCCGGAATATGTGCACGTCTTATTAATAATATCACTATTAATTTCCTCTGACAGATGATTCACACGATTATTTGCTTAATGTTACTAATGGTACGTATATTGATCGCATACACGTCTTCTAATGCAACCTTCATGACTGATATAATACACTTTCACGAGAACTTTACATCCCGTTTGCAAACATTAATCTTTCGATTTATCTCTGAAATATTATACATGCAAATGTCTCTCGCTCTGCTGCTAATTGCTTTATATTACTCTAATGTAAGTATTAGAAATATTGGGAAAAAATATTTATAACTATTGCTAATTATCTCTAAAATTCCTCTTCTATATGCAATAGATAGCTTGATAAGGAAATCTTCAAATAAAGAATGATTAATAAAAGAAGTAGATCTATATAAAATCATCTGTTTCGCTCTTATCGCCCGGAGATCGGATCAGATAAATTTTATATAGTTAGAAAGTTAAAGCACAAGACAACATTGCGATAGATATATGTATTATGTAAAATATTAGAGTACAACTTGCGTGACACATGAAAATGGTACACGTGTCTATTTGTCTCATCATATTTAATACTACCAATCAATCACTCATAATCATAGATACTGAAGAAACATCTATTCCTTTCTTTCTTATCCACATCTCGATGGATATTTATCTATTACTCACATACTAAAGATCTTGAGAGAAAGATATCTATTAATCAATTTCATATAAAAAGAGAAGATATATAGTCATATTTGACTATGTTGAAAAAAATCCAAAATGCATAATTTCAACAACAATAACAAATGTAACAATAATCTTGGAAAACATGGCATAGAATTATTAAATTTCCCTATTTGTCAAAATCATATAGATGCAAGATATAATTTCATCGATTACTACATCATTGAAAAGAAATAAATATACGTAAAAAAAGACTTGTACTCACCTGATTATCAATTATTATACCTGATTTTCACAATTAACGAAATCAAAGTAATGATGTAGATTTTGGTGAAAAAGAGCAATTCGTTAACCTCTGTAAACTAATAAAATCTCTGACAAGATAACTGCTTGGATGTGTTAGAGGGTTAACGGCGCCCGCGCGTATAGAACGTCGTCGTGGTTTTCTGTCAGGCCTTTTCCCCTCTTTAACGAACACCTTCAACAGTCGCGTGACACGCTGACATGAAACGGCTCGTCACTATATTGCTGTCGTTCGGGTCAGAATGACTAGACAAGTGTCAGTATCGATTCACCTGGCTGCTGGTTATGCCACATTATACAAAGCATTTCCGGTTATGGGAAATGCATGAGAAAATTTGCTGATCAAGTTATAAAATGAATAAAATGTAGTGCGGATACATCGTTGAAGAATGCACAACTTCCAACAGTTTTTACTTGACACATTTATATTCGCGACGTTTTGCCACAGCATCTACGGACAAAGTAAGCTTTTTGTTAATAAAATAATTATATTTAATTAATATTTGTTGAAATTTATATATATATATATAATTTATTTATTCTAATCTCTCATTAAAATGTTAAAGATATACACGTGAAAAAATAGATTAAATATATTTAAAAAGTAAAATGGTTAAAGCTTGACTAAAAGCTGGAAAGATACATTTCATGCAGTTCGACGTATCATTATCCTTAATTTTACAAATAAAAAGTTTTATAAGGATATCTTCTTATTTCAACAATAAATTATGATAAAATAAATATAATTAAATTCAGAATTTATTGTTTGTTTGAGTAATAATATTTTAACGTTAAAACTAAGAATTAAATATATTTAAAAAGTAAAATGGTTAAAGCTTGACTAAAAGCTGGAAAGACACATTTCATGCAGTTCGACGTATCATTATCCTTAATTTTACGAAAGTCAATATTATGTTTTCAGATGTTACGACGACTGACGAACAAAGCTCTATGGAACCAATAATACCTGCAGAAATGAAAATAACGTCATGGAATGTAAGTTTAATTGTTATAATTGTGTATGATTGAAAAAAGTCACATTTATAATAAAACATATTTAATTTTTGAGAAAAAAGAAAATGTGTGTGATTAATAACAAAATTCTTGCTCTTGGCATTGTTTACACATATTTCGTGATATATAGATAATTATATATATCGGAATCCGTATAATTAGAGTAATAAAGCTAATAATAAACAAATAAACTTTTGCTGTTTATTTTACGCGGAATCAAAATGATATTTAATTATATCAAAGGAAAGTAGCGTTTTTTGATATAAGAGACGAATAAAACGTCATTTGTATGCTTCGATAAAACTTATCAACGTTCTCCGAAAAAATTTATAAAATAGTGTCACACTTTCTGGTTTACTAACTAAAAAAATATTTAACTGCAATTTACTTTTACTCAGCGTATGTGGCAGTTATCCTGCCATATATCTAATTGTAAACTTTAATTTATACGCAAATTATTTTAATATACAAAACTTACATTATTGAAATCGAGAATTGATCAAAAATTGAATTAAATATTCTAATAATAATAATAATTCTAGTTACGAATTGGCAAGTGATTATCATTTTGATAATCCGAATATATTATATGTAAATGTATTATGGAATATCTTATTTTATTACGCTCTTTATACATGATGGCGCATTAAGTGCACATCTTTACGATTTCACTTTGTGATGCACGATAAGAATATGGCGCAAATGTCACAGTATGACATTTCCAACAGAAAAAATATATATTACGTCTTTATTGTACGATAAAAAAAATAGCCTATGCATTTCTTTTATGGTGATTATTCATGACTGCATTTATGTATTTGTTAAGTATAAGATTCTTATTAACTATACAATTAGTGATATTAAATTTATCTTCTTTAATATCTCTTCTCCACAATCTTGATTATTACAATATAGACAAATTAAAAAATAGAAATTAATTAAATAAACATTAATTAATTCTTTTTTAAATATTAATTTATGTCCACGCGCGTAAGTACTTTGCTTGTCAAAAAAAAGAATTACATTAAATAACTCCTTAATGTATTTTTTCAAAATCTTACTTATTATAATACGTATTGAGAAAATAAAAAGTAGATTAATCAGGTAAACATTAATTACTTCTTTTTCAAACTTTATTTAATGTCCACATACACATATCTCGCATATTAAAGAAAAATTATACTGAATAATATATACAAAAAACTACTTATGAAAAAAGTGCCTATCACTATGTCATATTTCAAGTGACAATCCGTCACATGATTTATTGATCACTGAAAAAATGTCCTACTTTTCTATATTGACGATGTGAAAAACCTAGAATTACAAAAACACGCGACATAAAATCGTCACCTTGCACGTGAATTCTATCCTCCAACATTGAGAGCTATTTCTGCCGTGGAAGCGCATCATTCTATGCTTTATTCCTTTATTGTAACTACATTATTGTTCTTTTAAGTAGTACGGTCATGCTAAATAATACATAAATCCGATAACGTTTAAAAGAAAATTAATTATAGCAGGTCAGAATATGGTGCAAAAAATGAGATACTTTAATTGTAAAAAAATCAAGGATAGATAATAATGATACCAATTACAATTACATAATTCTCATTTACCAACATCTTTTTTTTTTTTAATATGCGCGTTAGAATTTATCTACATCATATTCTTATAATTTAAAATTTTCTATGATGAAATGTTAACAGACAACAATATTTAGAATATTCAGTACACAAAAAGAATTAAAAAATAATTATTGCGCCAATTATATATATGAGGCTAGTTTTAAAGATAATCTAAGTCATTTTTTGAAAATTTGAAAATTTTATTTCTGTTGAGTATTGAATATATTTAAGTTTCTAATTTCTCTAAAAGTCTCATATAGTCAGAAGTTGAATAGTACTTTCCCGATGGCATCGCGTGTTTTGCGTGTCGTGGTAAACAAAGAGCGCTAATCGAGTAACTAAGCATGCTATTAGAACTGTTATATTACGTGGGTATCGTGGCTAGTAATAAGGTTTGCCGGGGAAAAAGATATTCATGAATGTGTATTTTCCGACATGTCGCGCATTTTGTAATCTTCATGGCACTTATATTAACGTGTTCGTGCAAGTCGATATCGAACGTTAAAACATGTACAAACATTTAAGCTAGAATATATGCAATTAATCGTGCACGGAACGATCATGACATTGTAATAACAAACGTGCAAAGATAATAATTAAAATAACGTTCAGAGCGTCTAAGCACCATTGTGGGATTTGATAACAATATCATATGTAATGGTGTAGGAGAGTATACACGCTAAATAATCAATCCTTGAGCGCAATTTTCCCCTACCTTTTTATGATAATATTTGATAATACATGAGATAATATTAGACAATAATAAAAGATAATTACGACTCTTATATAAAATAACAAATATTATATTTAACATTCGTTAAATTTTAGCTTGTAGAATTTTGAAAAATTTTTATCTTTATTTTTAATGTTAAATATAACCATTGTTATACATTTTATAAGAATCGCAATTTTATATTTATCCTAAGCTACGTAATATCGATTGCGACAATTGTTATAGGACATGCCGTTTTCGGGATTAGTGCAAGAGAATGGAACGTGGGTGGGAAAAGGTTACGCGTTTTACTTGCTTGAACTGCTTAGTTCCAAATTAAATTTCTCATATACTATTATACCGCCTAAGCAGCAGATACTAGGCAATGGTCGAAGTGGAATACTAGGTTTACTCTACGAAAAGGTAAGGTACTCTTTGTCATAATTGATTAGGGAATTATTCTTAACTATCTTCTCCATGCATAATCAAATGTAAATTAAATTTCCGTTAATAAAATTAATTGAATGAACAATATTAACATCTAAATTGTCGAAAATATAAATATCGTTTCCTATTCGAACAGAAAGTGGACATGGCGGTGGCTTTTTTACCTATTTTGCCGGAATTACGGAAGTATTGCACATTCAGCACAGCTTTGGACCAAAGCGAGATGACAGTGTTGATGAAACGACCTCAAGAATCGGCAACCGGTTCAGGACTGCTCGCACCATTCGACACAACTGTTTGGTTATTGGTACTCACTGCGGTGCTTTTCGTAGGACCCGTAATCTACATTTTTGCCAAGTTTAGGTTCGTCAAGAGTTATGAAGAACAAGCAAAAAAATGTATTTTGACACAACTATCCTTAATATTATCAATATTTTTTAGAGCGAAGTTATGGAAAAACCCTGATTCTGAGAATTATGGCTTGTTTGCTTGCGTATGGTTTGTGTACAGTTCCTTGTTGAAACAAGGAACGAATGTAATTGCGACTACAGGTATGCGACTACTATGCGCATTTAAATAAAAAGATCTTAATTACTACGTCATTTGTATGTATCTGTATTCTCTTAGGAGTTATTACTCATTTGCGTGCACGGCAATTCTATTTTATAATGTTAATGTGCATTTGCACACATTCGTCGCTTAACTCTTGTATAGTTTTTATACGGTTATTATCAGCATATATTACATTTTCATAATAACATAAAACCGATAAATATAGTGTAATAATCATATATATTCTTTTCTTACATTATATTATTATCTTATGTTATCAAAATAAATCCATGCTGATTACAGACTCGACGCGAATTCTTTTCGCCACATGGTGGTTATTCATCTTAATACTGACGTCCTTTTATACGGCGAATCTTACTGCGTTCCTCACGAAACCACAGTTTACCTTGCCGATCAACAACTTGGAGGATATAGTGCGCAAAGGTTACCAATGGGTCACTTACAAAGGACGCACTATTGATTTCCTACTTCATCATGTAAGTCTTTTTGCATATTTGTATCTAATATTCATAATCAATAATATAACGTTACGCTTTTTTTTGCGATTTAAAACTGATAGAATTTGCTACGAGCATTTTTCTGTTACAGCATATAACTAGTGAAATATTCTTTAAACATATAGTTAGCTAAACGTTTTTATATCTTAAATATTTTCAGCGTGTTACGGACGATTTGAGTTTGTTAAACACTGTACAATGGAAAGGCTACTATATTACATCGTATGAGTATCCGGTTAAATCCATTTTCAACGCTGTAGAGAAGAGTAAGTATCGACGATTGCGCTAGATTTCGAAGTATGCGTTAATATTAGTAATAGTATATACTAGTAATAGTAATTTAATAGTAGTACTAAATAGAAGTATAATATATGTGTTAACCTGTAGACAGATTGTTTCTCGGGGACACTCATTACCTCCAAAGCTTAATATTCGCGAATTACATTAACAAAACGCGCAAACATATGTTACATCAGGAAAGATGTACATACGTCATTATGCCCGGTACGATCCTCGTTACCAGTAGAGCATTCGCCTTTCCTTTAAATTCTACCTTGGAGAAACTATTCAATGAAGAGTAAGCATCGAATTTTCATGTTGGAAAATTTATACAAACTTCTTGATCTGGTCAAATAATTCGTATAATTTAACACAAATTTATTGAAATATTTTTTTTTTAAACAATGTGATTCAATTAATGCCTCTCAATGAATAAAACATATATTTTAGATTAATGGCTTTAGTGGAAGCTGGTATAATAAAGCGTGAAAAACAGATGAATCTACCACTAGCGCAAACATGCCCATTGGATCTTCGGTCCAACGAAAGACAACTGTCATTTTCCGATCTGTCTCTGACTTTCAAGGTAGTGGCCGCTGGTTATATAATCGCGACGATAATCTTCATCTTCGAATGGACGATAAACACTTATAAACGACGGAAAAGGACTGGTAGATGGTGCGTTCACACGCTCTGCTGTAGGTGGAAACGAAAATCGAAGGAATCTGTGACCCCGCAATTGGTGTACACTATGAAGAATAATTTGCTCGACAAACGGACCAACTTGCAAAAAATAAGTCCGCGACCGCTGCATCAGGATATTCCGATATACGATCTCGTTCCAGGAAAGAAACATAATATTAACGGGCGCGATTATTACATCGTGATGGATCGCTATGGTGATCAAAGATTAATACCCATTCGCACGCCATCCGCGTTTCTGTTTCAATACACGGCATAACAGAGAGGAACGACTTATATATTATATAACTACTATACCATAGGAAATTAATTGTAAAGTTTATTACAGAATTCGGAAATTTTAATCATACAAGTGTCAAGCTTCATATGTTAAAAATTATACAGTCTTCTCCCGCTCAACATCTAATAATTTATTACATTATTCCAAATAATATATCAAAGATATCCCATTTTATCTAAACAATCGAAAGTGCAACATTTCACAAAAATGGGTTTTTTAATCTTATTTTTGATCATAAAATTTGCATAAAGAGCATTAGAGAATAAATCTGGCATTAGATTCTAGAATCAAGCTCGATTTGTATTATGCTTATTGTAATTATGTTATAGACACGATTATAAAAAGCGATCAATGTTTATAGAATGATTTTTATTATTGTATAAAGCAATAATAAAGAAAAAATGGCTTGTAAAGAAAATTAATTTACGATGATTATATATAAAAAAAAAAAGATGGAAGAAAAAAATAAATAACGTAGCCTTTAAATACTCTTTTTTCTTTTATGTTTCTTTTAGTAATATAAAATGTTTGTATTGTATATTAATTTAATTTACTTAATTAGTGGCATTGATTTAATCAAGCAATAAAAAAATATAAAATAAATTTGTTTAAATATTAATGAATTTATATATTGGAAGGGCAATATTGTAACATGCTTTAAAATCTTTCACTAATTTATGTAAAATATTTTTCTAAAAGATATAAGTTTCTCTGTTTTCTATTCTTCTAAAAGAAAGCAATAAAAATGTATAGCCAACGTATAAATAGACCATTGCAATTACTTGCAACACGAGATAACAAAAAATGTTTTGAGAATACTAATATACTTATCACTCACTGGTATTGAATTTTCGCAAATTTCATCGAATTTCTGCGACGGCCACCATACGTCTAAACATCAGCCAGTATCTGTAAGTAAATAAATAATAATATAAGTTACAATCAAAGCAAGCAAAATTTTAAGAATATCAACAAAAATACATGTCGATTAGAACGTACTTGAATCAAGAAAAATTAAATCAATAAATTATTTATTTTAAATTATATTAAGAAACAAGCCCAATTTCGTAAATCTGAAAAAATGTTACATCAGAGAATTGCATTAGTCTAGATTCTAGATCACGCTCGCACAACTGTTAAAGCAACAAATGTTGCGATAGATGTTGCATTCCACTTGGTATTACAAATATTTTATATCATTTGATTTTGATCAAAATAAAAAGAACAAACATTTTTTTTTATAATTGCTGAAACGCTTTCGAAGCATTTGTAACGTTAAGCGCAACGTATCCATCGTCTGCATCTGATCGCTACATTGTATGCGCTATTTTATACACGGTTTATTTTGAGATTTATGAGAAAATTAAACTTTCTCATTCACTTAATTATATTATTAAATTAATTTTTTAACGTAAGAGACTTTGGAACTTTGACGATACGTTTTCTTGCTTGCTCTTTACTCGTTCTCGCTCTCGCTTTCGATGACATCAGAGACCTTTTTACTTCTATAATAATTTATCTATAATATTTAAAAATCTTATGTAATAAAAACTAAAATATTTATTTTTTACTTCAGAAAATAATTTTTTCTAATTTATTTCACATTTATTTTTCATCCAAATTTTATTGTATAAGAAAAGAGAGGTAGAAGGTATAGCTTCCGCAACAAAGAATAGCATTATGTTAGATATTTATTCTTCTTGCATAGAGACAGAATTTCCATAATCTTTAGAGTGCTGTATTAAGAATGGCAATATCTCCAAAAATACTCTACAAGAATTTTAAATACGAAGATTCAATGATATAAATAACCGACGGAGCTCTTCGAGCACAGCAGTATTTTTCCGATCGTTGGTACACTATCTCGTGCAATATCGTCAGAATTTCCTCAGGATGCTAAAGCAGTTTATCATTTTTGCGAGTCTGATTTTCCTGAGTTACGCTTGTTTAATTACAAATTGTCCACGTGGTGGAAAAAGGAGTGATATTGCGCCTTTTTCGAGAACTACGCGAAAAGTAAATATGTATATGTTCAATATGTACTTTGAAAACAAATATATAATAAATATATCAAAAATAAATGTATATAATTAATATAAAATTAAAATTTGTTTATACTCTTTACACATTTATTCATATATTTGTGATTGATAACAATTATTGTAGAGTTACACATCTAACTTTAGTGTTAATTGATAAAATCTAATATATTGACAATCTTCAAACCAAAGAATTTAAGAATAATTAATGAAATCCACAGAATTATTAGAAATAAATATATTGCAGAACTTTAAAAAAACAAAGAATTACTTATAAAGTAAACAGAAAAGTAATACTAAGATCAAAATGTTGAATCACATATAGATAGAAAATTATATATATGCTTCATATCATTTGCTCTCTATTCTCATATCTACATATGATAAGATATATAGAATAAGATAAGAATTTTAATGTATTGATTTTTTTATTTCCTATTCCTTTCTTATTTTTTAAAGTATTTATTTATATAAATATCCGAATTCTATGAGTATTTTTATCATTTATATACATATAAATATATAATACAATATACAATCCTGTTTTTTAATCAAATTATTATAATATTCCTTAAATATAGTGTCGCTCATGTGGTCCCAACCTTATGGGTCAATGCTTCGGACCTCGCATTTGCTGCGGTCCCAGTATCGGCTGCTTTATAGGAACACCTGAAACATACCGTTGCAAAAAGGAAAACCTATACACTAGACCCTGTATCGCTGGATACGCAATGTGTCGTGGAAATACAGCGCGATGTGCTACGAACGGTATTTGCTGCTCGCAAGGTTGGCATAAAGTAAAAATTAAACTTTAAAGAAAATAATTATATTTTTCAAAATTTATATATTGTATAGATAAAGAATATTTGTATAGATAAAGAATATTTGTATAATTATATAGTATGCGTGTAAATATCTCCTATAATATACATATATTTAATTATATATATTATTTTCTGTTTAGAATCCTGCTATATAGATACATCGTGCAAAATTGTTGATGTTGCCAATGATCGCGAAGTCGATACTGATTTGTATGTGATACTCTCAGGCAATGAAGACTCTAGTGAAATACTTCAATAATGTAAAATTTCATAGTTTTCGCTTACCACTTTGATGTTTCAATTCATATAAAAATATAATTATATTGTACTAATAATATGACACATATAATAAAAAGAATTAATTAAAGAAATTAGAATTATTAATTATATACCTGCAAACAGAGATTTTTTTGTTTTCTTTTGCAT